ATAATAATAATAATAATAATAATAATATTATTATTATTATTATTATTATTATTATTATTATTATTATTATTATTATTTAAATATAAGTAATTTCTCATTTTAAATAACATATTGGAAAGAATAAACTAAATATTTAATCAATAATATTTTAAAAATTCATTTCTTTTAAATAAACTTCGAATCTTATAGTTTTGAAGTATATACTTTTGAAATATTGTGTATATATGATTTTGATTTTGTTATTTTAATTTAATATGCTAATTTCAATACCAATCATCAATATTATTCTTTTATTCTCTTGAACACAACTTTTTTCTTACATCATCTTTATCACTTTATATTTTTTGTTATTTGCAATTTTTCTCGTCTTTTCTCAATTTTATGTGTATTAATACGCTAAAAAATCTTTAGAAAATGCACCTGTAATACTAACTTTTTATTATAAGAATTGACACAAGTTGTAAATAATTCGGTCTTGATCTCAAATTTGTAATAGAACATAACACCACCGCCATAGCTGTATATTTATTGATAAGTGGTAAAATCCTCGATCTAACAATGATAACGATAACAAAACAGAACGAGAATAATCTAGCGGTAGAACGATAAACTGAATTTTTAGCTGCCTTATATCATCATCTTATTTATTATTATAGTAGAATTTAATAAAAAAAAAAAAAGCAAAAGGAATGTCTATATTTACAAAATATATTATTAGCTTGCAGGAATGACTGTCAATGCTTCGCAATGATAGTTTTTTTAAAAAAGAAATAACTGTACAAAAGAAAACGAAAAACAATTTTTGTATAAAAGTTGGTGTGTGTACATATTAAAATTAATAATTAAAAAATTTTCTAAAGTCTAATTATAAATTCAAAAGTTCAAATAATTGTAATTAGAAATACGAATATGATGATGAAGCAAGAAGCAGTTGTCTTTCTTCGTCTGTTGGTATTATCGAAGAGACTGTTGAATTTCTCACAGTAGTCGATGTTGTGCCTAATTCTTCTGTGTTGACGATTATTGATTCGTTATCCGAATAGCAGTCGTTACCGCAGAACATTATCATACGTTTTAATAACTACATGTATTAAAAAAGGAGTCAAACAATTAATCCAATGTATCGATACGTCTTCTCGAATTTCATAACAAATCCTACCTCAGTAAATTTATCCCGTCCATTTCTAAATTTTTTCACCGCTCGTATTCTCATCGCTTCTCTTGGCACATATAAAGCCACCGATCCATCCTTTCGCCATGCTATTACAATTTCATCGTATGATTTTTTCAAATCTTCTTCCGTTGTTATTTCAACCCATTTACTAGGAGAGAAATATGGCTTGTATTTATTATTATTATAATTATAATAACCATTCCTCTTATTTAATGATGTTGGCCATACAAATTTAACTGCATCTTCAATTTCAGGTCGTCGTTTTTTTTGTTGTGATGAAGATGATGACTTGTCATTAATTTCTTTATTATCCTTTTGAATATTCGATATTTTTTTGTTCTTATTGCTAATAGTTTTTTCTGAACACGAAGGTATCGATATCGTAGTTTTATCAAATGTATCTATATGATTATACTCTGTTCCACTTTCCTCTCTTCCCCCTCTCTGGAAAAATATATTATTAAATATCCCTTTAAGCATTTTTTTTGTCGATTTTTTCCACCAAAGTAAAGTATAATATAAAAAGAAAGCACAAACGCAAGTGAGGGCTTAGACATAAACACGCACACACAGTCTTGTAGATTTTGTGTGTGTTGTCTGTGATTATAAATTTTTAGTGGTGGTAAAAAAAGGTTAAGGGAAGAGAAGAAGGAAAAAATAACATTAGGGGCGATATATGGTATTTATTGAATATTCATTTACGTATTATCGCTTATAAATTTGTAGATTTTAAAGTGAATTTAATCTTCATTACAAAAGAACCGAAGTTCCGGATTTGGGACTTTGTGCACATGTATTCTTACCATCGCTATTATTATCGTTATTATTATCAAGTGGAAAAGTGCTATTCAAAATAATATTTATATTGTTGACTTTCCAAGTATAGAATAGCCTGATTGTTGATTGGCTAAGGTTAATTATTGAAGCGAGAATCGGCTTTCTTCTGGCTTGTGCTGCCATGTTTTTATACCCATGGTATACCCATTTGCACATGGAATAGACTTTTTTGTTGCATGTTTGTTAATGCTCTATCGTTATCCTATACATGCGCATGATATGCACATGTATAATTTTTTGTAATCCGTTTATGTATTGGTATCGGTACTTTTATTTTATTATAATCTTATTTCCCTGTTGCACAGTATATATGAAATATGAATGCATGGATCTATTTATACGTGCTCCGTACCGAATGATTTGCCAAATTAATGTTAATTCGAGTCTGTGACTTGAATGTTTATTTTTAGTCGCAATTTTTTTCAAGTGTATCAGTATCTCCTGTCTCGCAAAAATCAAGGATCCATATCAAGTTTTTTACAATCTCATGTATTAGTGCCATGATATTTGGAATTTTCTAATTTTGCCTTCTTCGTATCCTAAATGTTCTTAGATGAATTAAAAAAAAAATTAACAATTCCCTGGATCAAACAGGAAATACCATCTCCCTGGATTTATGTGCTACTTTTTGTTGCTATTACACAGCCATATTCACTTTGTCAATAAGAAGCCATGTATAAAGCTGAAGCGAACTCGTAATGATCCATTTTGGTGCATGTACAGTAGAAGAAATCATGATGCACAAGAATTTATGTGCATTTTTAACGTGCACATATCGGATATGCAATTACATTTACATGTATTACACAATACGATGAAAGCTTCTAAAACAATCATTATCTTCACGCTGTGATGAATCGTTTGTTACTTTGCATCCATAGCTTAATATTATATACAAGCAAAACATCTCTCATTAACAATGCAACCTCTTATTTTCCAGTATTGTTTCATTGAAGACGATTCTGATTTGAATACGACCCGTTGATTTTTTACATTTCAAAACTATGTATAATCTATCATTGACACGCACGTCATGCGGATTGCCAATTTGTATTAGATAATTTTGATTTTTAAGCGGCGGCGGCGGCGGTGTAACGTTAATCCGTAAAAGGTATTGATCAATTGCTCGTAATTTTATAAACTTTTTTTTCACAATTATCAAATATCAGATGAGTATAAACAATGCCAATTAAACCAATTAAAAGGAGAATCTACAGTGCTTCGACCAATTATAAAGAAAATAATAAGTCAGTTATCAAGGAGCACAAAGACCAGCAAAATGATGAAGAAAAAAAGTATGCTAAAATAAAAAATCAAAGAAATAAGAAATCGAAAGCGGACGTGATGAAATTCACGATGAAACTAACAACAATATACATCGATAGTAATAGGAACGATGATACGAAAAGGATCGGAGACGACGATGACGAAAATTTGGTGGTAATTGTGGACGATGAAGATGACAACAACACGGTAAACAATCCTAGTAACAACGACGATATCGACGAGAACTTGAACGAATGGTTAACTCGCTTGATGGAGTCTCAAAGCAAATTTCAGGCTGTAAGTTCTCATTTGATTTCCATTCTAGGTGATTAATTAAATAACAAATCGATCATAAATTTAATTTAATTATAAAGGTTGCAGATGCCGCATCACAAATAGCAGACGGATTCGAGAAATTTGCAAATTCTATGTCTCTTCTTTGCAAAATGCCTTCAACGCAACATAATTTTATTATTCCTATGATGAACCTCGTTGGGAGTAATTCAATAAATACAAATCTAAATCACCTCAATAGTAATATTAACGATTATAACAACAACATCGTTAATAACAAGCACAAAAACCGACAGCAGCAGAACGTAAACTTATACGAACAAGGAATCGAACAAAGTCAATCCATGGACGGAAGTAAATTCGAGCAAACATCCGATAGTGAAAACTATTTCTCTTCGTATTCGTCGTCATCAAAGAGAATTGAAAGTTCCTCGGCATATGTTTCGTCACCTTCGTCTATATCTTCCTATTCTATGTCATCCGCCCACATGAATAGAAGAATTACACGCCGTGCATTCAACGAGGACGATAGAAAAGGAAGAGAATGGACTCTCAACGAACGAGCTGCTTTGACCCGAGAACTCATCAAATGTTACCGACGTCGAAGAAACCTCACTCAGTCACAACTATGTGAAGAGATTATCTCATGCGCAGATCAAGATATTGGGATAAAATTAAATAAGGTAATCTCAGCTTACTTGAACTTAAAATCACTTCCTATTCGACCTTCGGTGTTGGAAGCTACTAAACGATGGGTTGATAAAGAGAATGTGAAAAGACGTGCAAGGAAATTGAGGAATCGAAAATCAGTTCTGTAAAAGACGTTTTTTAGTTTAAAGATGTAAATAAATGCGTAAACAGAATATATCAAGAATGCTTTTCTTACTATGTAAATCTAAAATAGCAAAATTTCATATTTTTTATTTTTTGAATAAAAAACTCTCTATAGAGTTAACTTTCTATACATGTACTCGTTGCGGAGTAAAATTTAGTCAGTTGATCAATCGATCTCGAGCGATCACAAACAAAAAAATTACGTTGTGGATAACGATAACGATAAGAAATGATCCCACCGTTATATTATAAGTCAAACTTGACAAATATAATTCAATAACAGTAAGCAGCGGGGGGGGAAAGGACTAGTTAGTAAAAACAAATAACCAAAAGGTTGCGAAAACAATTTGAACCCCAATCACTAAAAACTCGGTAGAAAATCCGTAATTCTATTTATTCTCGTTATCGCTATTATCAATGATAACATATCGATTGTGGAAAAGTTTGCTATAAAGCCCGTAGCTCCAGCTGAAATTCGATGAGACGTGACTTAATTAAAACGAGAGAATATACGTGATAATATACGTGATAATATACGTGATAATATTGTTTATTGCATCATGCCTCCTCTAAAAGTTCGATACAAAATTCTTAATCTTTGCTTCTGCAAATGTATTGTCTCTTGAAATACGACCAACCCGTCGTACATGCAACTTTTAAACCATCGAGAATTATGCCATTTGCAACAATTATGTAAGTTGCTATTTACAAATTGCAGATAAGCACATAGCAAGGATTCAAAATTTACTTTTCTCGCTACTATTGCTAACAATTGGTCTGCCGGATTAATTTTACTTTACTACTTTAATTCAATTATTTGAATTTATATGTGCTTTAGTTTTCGAAATCTACAAAATTCTCGAGCAGACGAATAATATGAATTTGTGCCTTCAAATTTGATTTCGTAATTTAATAGGAACTTAGTGATCAAGAAGGTTTTTTTTAAATATAGTAGCTATTGTTCTTTCCTTGTTACGTCCTACCTTGTCTTGATTATTAATAACAGTTCAATTGATTGAATATAGAACCAAATTTTTTATAGAATTTGCTTATTTTCTCCTCATAAGTTTGTTCTACAGTATACTTAAAACTACTTCTTCTCGGGTGACTTTTTAACGAATTCACCTAAATCGAAATCCATTAATCTTATTGTATCAGCGGTTCAATTTTAAATGCTATATAAAACCAATATAATCGTCATAATTTCCTCTTTGATAACATCTTTTGTAAGTATGATATTACACATAAATAAAGTTTGGCTAATTAAACACGATTAATAAATTCGATTTTCATAACAAAGTTTAAATCGTTATCTAACCGCGCTCACCAATCGGTACAATTAAGAATTAGACATTTCAAACAAAAAATAATGCCCAATAAAGACAAAAAATGCTAGTGCTAATCAAGAGCGAATATATGAAGGAATAAAAAAACTTGCCAAGAATTTGAAAATCTTTAATAATATCCGATCACTTATCCTGACAAGTTACCAAGTAATTTCAGGATCCTCGGCTTTTCCAGAAAGGATAAGAACTGCGAGCTCCACAGGATAATTTCAAACCAAGTTTTTGATACTATCCGCGCTCTCCGAAATAAATTTCAGCTAACTGTCATTCGTTGTAGGTTCTTTCGCCTTTGTAATCCTTATCATCGAATTGCACAAGGAAAACCGTTACGTAACTTTTAATCACATCCTCAAGGACTCCAAAATACGTAGTTCCCAGAACCGCCGTCTTTTGTAGGCTTGTCAAGTGATTCATGATTCTCTTATTTTCTCCATAAGACAAAATCCAAGCATCAAGGCTATTCTTATGCTTATGGGAAACGAAAATGGTACGACAAACTTCCCCTCGATATTTAATTTTTTCCCTCGTCCAATGTATCGATACGTCTTCTCGAATTTCATAACAAATCCTACCTCAGTAAATTTATCCCGTCCATTTCTAAATTTTTTCACCGCTCGTATTCTCATCGCTTCTCTTGGCACATATAAAGCCACCGATCCATCCTTTCGCCATGCTATTACAATTTCATCGTATGATTTTTTCAAATCTTCTTCCGTTGTTATTTCAACCCATTTACTAGGAGAGAAATATGGCTTGTATTTATTATTATTATAATTATAATAACCATTCCTCTTATTTAATGATGTTGGCCATACAAATTTAACTGCATCTTCAATTTCAGGTCGTCGTTTTTTTTGTTGTGATGAAGATGATGACTTGTCATTAATTTCTTTATTATCCTTTTGAATATTCGATATTTTTTTGTTCTTATTGCTAATAGTTTTTTCTGAACACGAAGGTATCGATATCGTAGTTTTATCAAATGTATCTATATGATTATACTCTGTTCCACTTTCCTCTCTTCCCCCTCTCTGGAAAAATATATTATTAAATATCCCTTTAAGCATTTTTTTTGTCGATTTTTTCCACCAAAGTAAAGTATAATATAAAAAGAAAGCACAAACGCAAGTGAGGGCTTAGACATAAACACGCACACACAGTCTTGTAGATTTTGTGTGTGTTGTCTGTGATTATAAATTTTTAGTGGTGGTAAAAAAAGGTTAAGGGAAGAGAAGAAGGAAAAAATAACATTAGGGGCGATATATGGTATTTATTGAATATTCATTTACGTATTATCGCTTATAAATTTGTAGATTTTAAAGTGAATTTAATCTTCATTACAAAAGAACCGAAGTTCCGGATTTGGGACTTTGTGCACATGTATTCTTACCATCGCTATTATTATCGTTATTATTATCAAGTGGAAAAGTGCTATTCAAAATAATATTTATATTGTTGACTTTCCAAGTATAGAATAGCCTGATTGTTGATTGGCTAAGGTTAATTATTGAAGCGAGAATCGGCTTTCTTCTGGCTTGTGCTGCCATGTTTTTATACCCATGGTATACCCATTTGCACATGGAATAGACTTTTTTGTTGCATGTTTGTTAATGCTCTATCGTTATCCTATACATGCGCATGATATGCACATGTATAATTTTTTGTAATCCGTTTATGTATTGGTATCGGTACTTTTATTTTATTATAATCTTATTTCCCTGTTGCACAGTATATATGAAATATGAATGCATGGATCTATTTATACGTGCTCCGTACCGAATGATTTGCCAAATTAATGTTAATTCGAGTCTGTGACTTGAATGTTTATTTTTAGTCGCAATTTTTTTCAAGTGTATCAGTATCTCCTGTCTCGCAAAAATCAAGGATCCATATCAAGTTTTTTACAATCTCATGTATTAGTGCCATGATATTTGGAATTTTCTAATTTTGCCTTCTTCGTATCCTAAATGTTCTTAGATGAATTAAAAAAAAAATTAACAATTCCCTGGATCAAACAGGAAATACCATCTCCCTGGATTTATGTGCTACTTTTTGTTGCTATTACACAGCCATATTCACTTTGTCAATAAGAAGCCATGTATAAAGCTGAAGCGAACTCGTAATGATCCATTTTGGTGCATGTACAGTAGAAGAAATCATGATGCACAAGAATTTATGTGCATTTTTAACGTGCACATATCGGATATGCAATTACATTTACATGTATTACACAATACGATGAAAGCTTCTAAAACAATCATTATCTTCACGCTGTGATGAATCGTTTGTTACTTTGCATCCATAGCTTAATATTATATACAAGCAAAACATCTCTCATTAACAATGCAACCTCTTATTTTCCAGTATTGTTTCATTGAAGACGATTCTGATTTGAATACGACCCGTTGATTTTTTACATTTCAAAACTATGTATAATCTATCATTGACACGCACGTCATGCGGATTGCCAATTTGTATTAGATAATTTTGATTTTTAAGCGGCGGCGGCGGCGGTGTAACGTTAATCCGTAAAAGGTATTGATCAATTGCTCGTAATTTTATAAACTTTTTTTTCACAATTATCAAATATCAGATGAGTATAAACAATGCCAATTAAACCAATTAAAAGGAGAATCTACAGTGCTTCGACCAATTATAAAGAAAATAATAAGTCAGTTATCAAGGAGCACAAAGACCAGCAAAATGATGAAGAAAAAAAGTATGCTAAAATAAAAAATCAAAGAAATAAGAAATCGAAAGCGGACGTGATGAAATTCACGATGAAACTAACAACAATATACATCGATAGTAATAGGAACGATGATACGAAAAGGATCGGAGACGACGATGACGAAAATTTGGTGGTAATTGTGGACGATGAAGATGACAACAACACGGTAAACAATCCTAGTAACAACGACGATATCGACGAGAACTTGAACGAATGGTTAACTCGCTTGATGGAGTCTCAAAGCAAATTTCAGGCTGTAAGTTCTCATTTGATTTCCATTCTAGGTGATTAATTAAATAACAAATCGATCATAAATTTAATTTAATTATAAAGGTTGCAGATGCCGCATCACAAATAGCAGACGGATTCGAGAAATTTGCAAATTCTATGTCTCTTCTTTGCAAAATGCCTTCAACGCAACATAATTTTATTATTCCTATGATGAACCTCGTTGGGAGTAATTCAATAAATACAAATCTAAATCACCTCAATAGTAATATTAACGATTATAACAACAACATCGTTAATAACAAGCACAAAAACCGACAGCAGCAGAACGTAAACTTATACGAACAAGGAATCGAACAAAGTCAATCCATGGACGGAAGTAAATTCGAGCAAACATCCGATAGTGAAAACTATTTCTCTTCGTATTCGTCGTCATCAAAGAGAATTGAAAGTTCCTCGGCATATGTTTCGTCACCTTCGTCTATATCTTCCTATTCTATGTCATCCGCCCACATGAATAGAAGAATTACACGCCGTGCATTCAACGAGGACGATAGAAAAGGAAGAGAATGGACTCTCAACGAACGAGCTGCTTTGACCCGAGAACTCATCAAATGTTACCGACGTCGAAGAAACCTCACTCAGTCACAACTATGTGAAGAGATTATCTCATGCGCAGATCAAGATATTGGGATAAAATTAAATAAGGTAATCTCAGCTTACTTGAACTTAAAATCACTTCCTATTCGACCTTCGGTGTTGGAAGCTACTAAACGATGGGTTGATAAAGAGAATGTGAAAAGACGTGCAAGGAAATTGAGGAATCGAAAATCAGTTCTGTAAAAGACGTTTTTTAGTTTAAAGATGTAAATAAATGCGTAAACAGAATATATCAAGAATGCTTTTCTTACTATGTAAATCTAAAATAGCAAAATTTCATATTTTTTATTTTTTGAATAAAAAACTCTCTATAGAGTTAACTTTCTATACATGTACTCGTTGCGGAGTAAAATTTAGTCAGTTGATCAATCGATCTCGAGCGATCACAAACAAAAAAATTACGTTGTGGATAACGATAACGATAAGAAATGATCCCACCGTTATATTATAAGTCAAACTTGACAAATATAATTCAATAACAGTAAGCAGCGGGGGGGGAAAGGACTAGTTAGTAAAAACAAATAACCAAAAGGTTGCGAAAACAATTTGAACCCCAATCACTAAAAACTCGGTAGAAAATCCGTAATTCTATTTATTCTCGTTATCGCTATTATCAATGATAACATATCGATTGTGGAAAAGTTTGCTATAAAGCCCGTAGCTCCAGCTGAAATTCGATGAGACGTGACTTAATTAAAACGAGAGAATATACGTGATAATATACGTGATAATATACGTGATAATATTGTTTATTGCATCATGCCTCCTCTAAAAGTTCGATACAAAATTCTTAATCTTTGCTTCTGCAAATGTATTGTCTCTTGAAATACGACCAACCCGTCGTACATGCAACTTTTAAACCATCGAGAATTATGCCATTTGCAACAATTATGTAAGTTGCTATTTACAAATTGCAGATAAGCACATAGCAAGGATTCAAAATTTACTTTTCTCGCTACTATTGCTAACAATTGGTCTGCCGGATTAATTTTACTTTACTACTTTAATTCAATTATTTGAATTTATATGTGCTTTAGTTTTCGAAATCTACAAAATTCTCGAGCAGACGAATAATATGAATTTGTGCCTTCAAATTTGATTTCGTAATTTAATAGGAACTTAGTGATCAAGAAGGTTTTTTTTAAATATAGTAGCTATTGTTCTTTCCTTGTTACGTCCTACCTTGTCTTGATTATTAATAACAGTTCAATTGATTGAATATAGAACCAAATTTTTTATAGAATTTGCTTATTTTCTCCTCATAAGTTTGTTCTACAGTATACTTAAAACTACTTCTTCTCGGGTGACTTTTTAACGAATTCACCTAAATCGAAATCCATTAATCTTATTGTATCAGCGGTTCAATTTTAAATGCTATATAAAACCAATATAATCGTCATAATTTCCTCTTTGATAACATCTTTTGTAAGTATGATATTACACATAAATAAAGTTTGGCTAATTAAACACGATTAATAAATTCGATTTTCATAACAAAGTTTAAATCGTTATCTAACCGCGCTCACCAATCGGTACAATTAAGAATTAGACATTTCAAACAAAAAATAATGCCCAATAAAGACAAAAAATGCTAGTGCTAATCAAGAGCGAATATATGAAGGAATAAAAAAACTTGCCAAGAATTTGAAAATCTTTAATAATATCCGATCACTTATCCTGACAAGTTACCAAGTAATTTCAGGATCCTCGGCTTTTCCAGAAAGGATAAGAACTGCGAGCTCCACAGGATAATTTCAAACCAAGTTTTTGATACTATCCGCGCTCTCCGAAATAAATTTCAGCTAACTGTCATTCGTTGTAGGTTCTTTCGCCTTTGTAATCCTTATCATCGAATTGCACAAGGAAAACCGTTACGTAACTTTTAATCACATCCTCAAGGACTCCAAAATACGTAGTTCCCAGAACCGCCGTCTTTTGTAGGCTTGTCAAGTGATTCATGATTCTCTTATTTTCTCCATAAGACAAAATCCAAGCATCAAGGCTATTCTTATGCTTATGGGAAACGAAAATGGTACGACAAACTTCCCCTCGATATTTAATTTTTTCCCTCGTCCAGTTTATCCTTCATTTTTCTGAGCATGTCTTTGTTGCAGTTAACTTTAAGAGTTACTCCTTTTTTTTTCTCATCTTACTAAAAGGAACTAAATAGGATTTTAGCGAAAAGAAGAGTAGGGTTATCGTTTATTCTTGGATTTTCAACAAGGATCTTATTTGACAGTTATTCAATTATTTGAAAAGCTAAGAAGCTTAAAAAAGTCAAATGTCGCGGTATAACCATTAAGCCAATAGACTGTACAAACGCTATCACTTGAAATATCTATCATACCGATATACTGTATGTTTATCTGCATTTAGTTGCGTGCGAATTCTTAATAAATAAAAGTTAGATACATGTATTAAATATAGTATATTTAAACTTTCTATAGTCATCTTTATCTATAGTCACATCCCTCTAAAGTCACTCAGTTTGAGTTTTCCAGTTATTAAGTGAGCCTATGATTAGAATACACGCTTTATAGTCACACCCCTCTATAGTCACCCAATTTGAATTTCCCAGTTACATGTACATGTACATGTATTAAGTGAACTATACGCTTTATAGTCACGCCCTTCTATAGTTGTCTAATTTGATTTCCCAATCGTGGTGACTATAGAGGGATTTTTAACCTGTCATGCTTTTTATCAAATAAGCATCACAATAGCAGATTTGATTATAACCTTATAAACAAAAAAGTTAAAACCGTCATTTATTTCTTTAATAGTCATCGCGCTCGCAATACCATTCGAGGTAATTTTAAATGAAAGATACAAATTTATTACAATAAATAACATAAAACGACGAAATCTGTGACAAAATGACACCAATCTGGTTTTGACATAAGTCTTAGTTATTAATATGTTCGATTACAGATATAATTTAGCAAACTAACCTTTTTACGATGATATTATGCACATGGATTATATCATCAACTCACATAAAAGATTTCCATTGTACAACTAGTTTTTTTTCTTTCATCATACACGAGATTTTTTCTGTCCCAAAAAAAAAGGGATTATCAAGAACTACGTAAAATCGTAACGGTAAGAAATCTAATCAAATTTTTTTTTTCTTGAAATATCATCAAAAACTGAATACGCAACTTTCATTTATTCCCGCTAATAGGGTAATATCGTGTTGAAAAGAAATGGAAAATGAATTTAATGAGACACAAAAGCCGCCATACAATCCACCTCAACAAAAACCACTTCCGTTAACGTTACCACCTTCGCTTACTATTAGTAATATAACTACAACTATAGCTAACTCTTCATTTCCAGCGCAACGACTTCAGTTGTCATCATCTCTCGCGTATATTAATGATACTGATAGTAATGTTGATGCGGAAAAAATCCAAAATAATGAAAATAAAGGGAAAGATAAGATGCTAGATCGTGATAATCATCGACCGGAAATAGAAATTCAAGGGAATGAGAATAATAGAAATGAGATTGAGAATTTTGAGACTAGCAATGAAAATACTAATATTCTCGAGAATATTATTAATCTGAATACTTATGAGAATGATAATGAAAATGATAACCTTACTATCGAGAATATTAATCATGAGAGTTACGTTGAGAATAACGAGGAAAATAATAATTTAAGCATGCAGATGAAAGAAATTGAAGGCGATCAAGAATTAGTTGACGTGGAAAACATATCAAACACTGAAACGACGTTGGCAGAATTGCTGGAGGCGGAGAACAAATTTCAAGCTGTAAGTAATCTTTTACTACGTTTATTGTTAAATGAGCATATCTATGACATTCATTCTATACGAAATACTGCTAGCTTGCAGACGCTGCTACGGAAATTGCTGAAGGTTTTGGAAAATTCGCAAGAGCAATGGAGAAGATTCACAATATCGATTCTTTCAATTATAATAGTTTACCCCAGCTTCTCCGACTAAATGATATAGAAACCAATTCCACTTCAGTATCGTCATCATTAGGCGAAAAAAAGTTTCGCGACCGAAAACGTCAGAGACGCAATTCCACGTCTGATGAATCCAATTCTTCAGAATCATCATCATCATCTCAATCTCGATCACCAGATAAAACTTCCGATTCGACATCCCAAATTTCCTCATCCTCCGAAGAAATACGCGAATGGACTCTCGAGGATCGAATGAGACTAAACAATCTTATGATTCATTTTTATAAACGTAGAAATAAATATTCCCCACCATTTTCACAAGTACGAATGGCGAAGGAGATTATAGAAATATCGAAAAAGGATATCGGGATAAAATTGGAAAAACTCATTAACAGTTATTTGACTTGTAAAGTGATTCCTAGTAGACCGCAGTTATTGGAAGCTATAGAATTGTGGGTTGAACGAGAGAAACGAAGGGTAAAGAGAAGCAGAAAAATGATGCGAAATAAAAGATAATATTACATTAAATACATTACATGTAATAAGTTAAGTTCTATTTAGTTATTGCTTTATTCGTTATAGTAAAAAAATATATGTAAGTTAGAAGTTTATTCAACTTCGAAATTAAAATCTTATTATCCGTAGTATTCTTGTTATACAATCAGTTATTGCACGATTACATGTATTGAAATGTAACACTACGAGAAGCCCAGCTTAATAAAGGAAATTTGGGAAATTATAATTGGAAATTCGCACAACGTTCCATTTACACAACATCACACATACATGTATACACATATTTTTTTGTCTCCTTGTTATCAAAGTAAATCAATAATCATCAATCAATTAAGCAATAGCGATAGTAAATATAAATAACTAAAATAAATAACATAAAATATTCTCGAAAGAAATCAAATCAATTAATAATTAATTATGATGACTGAAACATTGGAAAATCAATTAAATCAAGATATTGCTCGACTTTATCAAGAAGCAGATGATTACAATGTCAAAATAACGGTCGGCGAAGAACCCAATGAGCAAACATTTTTTGCACATTCCGTTATATTACGTGCAAGGTCCCCATTTTTTCGTGCAGCTTTATCACATAAATGGCGAAATACGCAAGATTCCGAAGATAAAATCACATTCTCGAAACCAAACATTCACCCAAAAATATTTAGAATCATTCTAAAGTGAGTGAATTATATATTAATTTCATTCTATTTTGTCGAGCATCAACAACCAATAACAAATAACAAACAAATGTTCCATTCTTCCATATGATAAATAAAAAAGATATTTGTATACAGGCACGGTGTCATTTTATCAAAAAAATAATGATTATACATCATTGTTGATTGCTGCGGATGAACTTGCATTAACATCACTTGTCGACCACATTCAGGATCACATAATAAACGAGGATATAAAATGGTTACAAAGGCAACTTGTGCAAGTATTTCAACTTTGTTCGCGATATGAAACGTTCTCAAAACTTCGAGAATATTGTGTACAAACAATTTCGGGAAATCCAACAAGTTTCTTTAAGTCGCCGCATTTTTTGAATCTCGAGGAGAGTGCACTAATTGATTTGTTGAAACGAAGTGATTTGGCCATGGAAGAAATTGATGTATGGGATGAAGTAATTCGATGGGGAATAGCA